GATATGTCCAAATTGTGCTCATAGAAACATAAGACAGTATTTATATATATCTTGGAACTCCTCTCCAGCAGGCCTGTCACATTTTTGGTGGTGGTGGTCTTTATTCTCCAGGATAGTATTCAGTTGTCAACTCAGAGTGAAGCTGGATTAGAACAAGGTAGTTCATCCATATGATGCAGTCTGCTGGGAGAATTTTGCCATAGGTTGCATCTGGACTATTTTATCTTCTTCCCTAACACTTACTATTGTGTATAATATATTAATTTATATTACACATAATACTAGAAGAACTAAATAAAGTTTCTGAGGCAGGAGCCTAACCATTCCAGTTAATCACTACCTTCAAACTGAAAATAGTCAGAATTGTTTGGATATAGGATCAAGTTTGTATTATTTATTGGAAAAGAAGCAGTCTCCCAAAAGTCTGCTCCTGAACCTGTTACAGGGTCACTGGGATGTCGTCAGTGCCATCCACAAGATTAATAGCATGAGCGAGAGAAGCGATTCAAATTCCTGAATGTTTCAGACAGTGTGGAGTATTTGAAACATCTGCACAGGGCTTGCAGCTACTGGACCTACAGGAGAACTGCACTCCTCTGGAGGAATAGCTGGAATGCAGGTGGGATATCCTACTGATCTTTCCTCAGGCTTCTGCGTTTCACCTGATAAACACTGATAACATATTTCCGCTTACAAGAAGAAAAGAGGAAATATGCATTTATCTACAATATTTTTCATTTCACTTTCCAAGTGAAATTTATTTAACAACCTCAAAAGCAAGTTAATTGTACTAATGTCTAAGTATCATTACTATAACAGAGCAATTTTAAATTTGTCCTAGATAATGCGGTTTTTGATGGATGTTCTGTAAGTATGCAGAACTGCATAAACATGTGAGATGGAAAATAATTCTGTAGTAGGATCTACTTTTTTGGGGGAGTTGGACTAGATGAGCTCCAGAATTCCCTTCCAACATAAATTAGTTGATTTTATAAAATAAAGATGCAGTTTTTAAAAACACCTTCTGTGAAAAAGCCATACAGCACAGTACCTTTGATGAGAAGTATTTAATCACAGGAGATAATAAAGAACTCTGTGATCACCCTACTGTAATGTTGTATATTGTATCAATTTCTAAAAAAAAAAAAAAAAAAATGAGTGCAATCTTACTACTTTATTTTTCACTGTTAAATATTTTTCTTCTTACAGTAAATAAATGCGCTCTAAAAATGTAGGTTTTGTCAGGGAGATGCACTGAAACTCACTCAACATTAAATTGAGGTCAATAAGACTACAAAGACGAGATTAATGTGCAAGTAGTTTAAATCTTCTGTATGAAAATGAAAATAGATCTTACTTAAAATATTTGGGACATTGCATGAAAGAAAAATCTCTACTTGTATATTGAGAAATGGAGACCTTCAAAAAGGTAATTTTTAGAAATCATACAGACTTGCAAAACAGAAATTGAATATAAACCCTGAAAAATACAGAGCAATTCTAATATCATAGCCAAAAAAAAATTGAATTCTGAAGATAATAAACTTTGGTATTTAAAAATATCATGTTAGACATTGGTTTTAGCATGTTCCTTTGTTCCATCTTTTGAAGCCATTTGAACAACAGGTTAAGTTACAAAGAGCTATTGTGCTATCAGTTTTCCAGTAAAGCCTTGTCCAAATCATTGGGAAGTAAAAGAATGGCAGAATGGTTTAGCGCATCACCTCATTATTGTCCAAGTTTCACTTGCTAGACTGTGATAAACCTCTTAGGTATTTTCCCCAGAGAGGATGGAGAATGTGGGTGACTGAACTAGAGAGCATCCAATAAGACAGGTTATGTTTTAAACCAGGTTTAATCTGAATTTTACTATCCAAACCAAATCCATGTTTCTATAATGTGGTCTCTAAAGTGATACAACGACAATCTCCTGTACCCTTGGTGTGTGGTTGAAGCATGGACATACCAGGAGGCCTCCAAAGTCAGGAAGAAAAGGTGTCACTCTATGAGCCAGATGAACTCCCCAAGGCATCTGTAACCTGGTGGTTTACAAAAGTAAGAATCTCCTGTTCTGCCCTATCCCCTTTGTCAGTAAAAACAGATCTATCTGTGCTTTCCCCTATTTTCATGTTCTGTTATCAAATACTATAAAGTTGCAACTGTGTATCCTTATATAAGAACATTAAGTATTTTTACTACATAAATATAAGGAGAACTTTTTGGAAAAACATGTACAGCAAGTCAGTCATTATTCTGGGTAACCTGAAGGATGTGTGATCATTTCACAGAAATTGGAAGGGACCCATAAGGATCATCAAGTCCAACTCTTACATAAGTGGCCCATAAGGGGATCAAACCCACGACCTTGGTGTTATTAGCACCATGCTCAAACCAACTGAGCTAATCTCATTTGATCATTTATGGACAGTAATCCAGGAACAGGACTAAATAGGTGACAGATTATGTATTTTGGAAACAAAAAACAACACCAAGCTAGTGTAAAATATGGTGATCGTTCAGTCTGAACAAAAAAAAATACTCGTTTTCTGCTCAAGTTCCTTTAAACTTGGTGGGCATTTAAAGTATCAATTTGCAGATGCAGAAAGAAAAAGATATTAAATTTACTGAATTTTAAAGTCTCCATTTAAAGTCTCCATCCAGACTAAGTCTGTAGTTACCAGTTAAAAGAGATAAGCACCTCAAACCCCCAAAACATATCTGAACAAATCTCAACCTTTGTATGTCCCACCTCTGTGACAGAACACACAAAATACTTTCCAGAGGTTCCCTCCCTCTCTCTCCCCATACTTTATTACTGAATTTGCCTGTCCTATCATGTTAATTGGACTAGTTGATATGTCACTGTTATTATCAAAGTTTTCTTTAATAATCATCTTGTCTTTTGCAATTCTAAAATGATAGATCTGTCTTGTTGATTGAAAACACTGAACTTGAATGTAGAATGAAAAAAATACGGATCTCTGTACCAGTTTCTTCTTCTCCACTGATTTCCTCTTTTTATGATTTTAAATACCCTAGAGATATTTTTAGAAGGTAAAATAAGGTATTAAAGACATTTCTGTTGTCAGTTTTATCCCTTTATGATGTCTAGTCTTTCTTAGTTGAGGTTTCTATTTGTTTAAAGCTACCTAGCTGAAATGGAAGCCACCCACATAATTTTTCCAAGAAAATTAAATATTTGCGATGTAATACTTGTACTGTAGCTCCATTCCTCCATTATACATATTACATCTAGCTTCAGTGGTCTGAACAAGCAAAGGCATGCACATAATTAATTCCATGAGGGACAGCTTATTCATACTTTTGCACACACAACTCTTGCTCTTTGTGTATCAGTTGCATATAATTTACAATGACTATTTCTGCTAACGAGTACTCAGTGTAAATTAAATTCTAAATAAAGCCCCAAGTTTTCAGACATATTTTTGTTGTTGCTTGATCAAACATTTTCTATTGTCCTACATGCACATGAGTGCGTGCACACACACATACTGGAAATGGCTTTTTCTATTCTTCAGCTTGTGCTATGCAGTAAAATGGTTATATAAATAGCAACATGGCAACAGTTCCTTGCACATGTGGATGTCATAAACATTTTGTGTTCCTTTACAGCCAAATTCAATTCAAGGCGCTGTCGCAGCAGTGGGCCTCCTCCAGGAGCCGGCACGGGAGAGGGTCTCTCAGGCACCAAGGTGATTTGCAAGTTTCAAGGGAGTAACACATACGGTGTGGATTAGCTGTAAATTAAACACACAAGTGTTTTCTTTATAAGTGACATATATATAGGAAGAATTTCTTCACATAAAGGGTGATTAGACATTGGAATGGACTGCCAGCGAGGTGGTGGAGTCACTATCCCTGGAGGTCTTTAAGGAAAGACTGGATGTGACACTTAGTGCCATGGTCTAGTTGACATGGTGGTGTTGGATCACAGGTTGGACTTGATGATCTCATAGGTCTTTTCCAACCTAATTGATTCTTTGATTCTGTGATTCCAGGGGCATGATGACAGGTCTTGTTCCCCTCAGCCCTGCCCCACCCTCACCCACCATGCAGCTCGCACTCCTTTCCCACACATATACATAAATGCACACAGGATCTGTGCTTTAAACCAACCAACCAACCAACCAACCAACCAAAAAAAAAAACCCCAAAACAACCAACAACCAACCAACCATAGGAATGTTGTTTTTTAAAAAAAAAAAAAAAAAAAAAAAAAAAAAAAGGCACCCTTTTTCAGGATTGTGAGTAAATATGACCCAAGGGGCTTCCCAGAGGTATCCCAATTCCCTCTCAGCTGTTGCCCCCCAAGGCCTTGCATCAGCCCACCCTGGACACCTTCCTGAGCCCCAGCTCCCTGCAGAGGTGCCCCTCGCTCACTATGGAGCTCCTTCCCACCAGCACAAAGCCCTGCCTTGATTAATGCCCAGGCTTGGGCTCCCATTTCAGTGTTATACCATTTCTACTGTGTCCAGTTCTGGGCCCCTCAATTCAGGAACAACATTGGCATGCTGGAGCGTGTCCAGAGAGGGGCAATAAAAGTTGGTGAAAGGTCTGGAGCACATGTCCTATGAGGAGCAGCTGAGGGAGGTGAGGTTGTTTGGCCTAGAGAACAGGAGGCTCAGGGGTGACCTTATCACTCTCTGCAACTACCTGAAAGGAGGGAGTAGCCAGGTGAGGGTCGGACTCTTCTTCCAGGCAAACAGTGACAGGACAAGAGGACAGTCTTCAGCTCCCCAAAGGGAGGTTTACATTGGATATTATAAAGAATTTCTTCACAGAAAGGGTGATTAAACACTGGAATGGACTGCCCAGGGAGGTGGTGGAGCCACTGTCCCTGGAGATTTTTAAGGAAAGTCTGGATGTGGCACTTAGTGACACAGTCTAGTTGACATGGTGGTGTTTGGTCATAGGTTGGACTCCATGACCTCAGAGGTCTTTTCCAACCAAACTGACTCTTTGATTCTGTTATTCCTGCCCACCCTCGCCCACCCCGCGCCTCGCGCTCCTTCCCCGCGGCCGCCCAGGACGGGGCTCTAAGATGGCGGCGGCTCCCGCTGCCGCCGGCGGGCAGGTGAGCGGGGCGGCCTCTCCCTTCCCTTCCCTCCCCCCGCGCCGGCTGCACCGCTCCCCCGGCTGCCGGCCGGACTGGTGGCCACCCCTGGCACGGCCCCTCGCAGCCCGCCCGGCCCGGGAGCACCCCCGCCCTCCCGGTCTGCCGAGGGGGGAGAAGCGGGGAGATTTCTGCACCGCCACCACACCCCCGAAGCGAGGCGTGCTCGGTCCTCCCGCGGCGGCGGAAGAGGCTCGGCTCCCCCGACCGCCCTGGGCGGCAGCGGGCGCGGCTCCTCTGAGCGAGCCGGTCCGATCCTTCTCGGGCACCGCGGCACCACGGAGGTCTGCAGCCCCGCCGGGGCCGCCGGCTGCTGGGGCGGAGAGCGGGAATGACCGGGAAAGGGCTCTAGGGTGGGGAGAGGATGAGATCTCACGTAACGCAGTATGGAAAATACAAATCTTGGGGCACAGCCTTCCTGACTTGTCGAACTCAGAACCCGGGATCTGTGCTGTCTGGAGTAGGTGTGCGTTCCCCATTGGCACTCCACTCTCGCCATCGGTCTGTCCCTCTGTGCCGGGGACGGACATCAGCACGCTTGGGGTGTCGCTTTTCTCCAGAGGAAAACGAGCTGCTTCTCTCCAGAGAACACTTAGTGTTCCCTAGGCAGATTTTGCCCATGTAGACAGAAAACTACAGCTATTTGTCCCAGGTTTTCCCCCTCTGTGACAGCTGCAGTTTGGGAGCCATACCGAGTGCTGGGCAGATGGGCACTGTCCCACACCCGCTCTGTGGAACAAGTGGGCTGTGTGGAGTCCCGGGAGTGCTTGGCTGCTTCAGCTCAGAAAGTCCCACAGGTCCCCCTCCTTTGCAAGTTAATCTGTGTATATTCAGCATGCCCAGAACACACTGGAGTGGTTGTGCAGCCAATACAGGCCATTCTCGACACGCCTGTTGGTGTTCCCAAGGCGTTTTATGTTTGTAAAGTTGTATCAGTTTTGCGGTTTAAACAATAGTGATCCTAATGATGTTGGGCATAATAGCTCATGTAGAAAACTCTTTTCTTCTGATACACATTTTACTTTTTATCAGACACTAGTAACAGAGATCCATAATTCTCTTGTTAATGAGTTTCACTGCTTTTACAAATTACGACACATCAGTAATATACTCTGAAAATAAAAATTGTGTCTGCGTTTTTCAGCGTTTAATGTACAAGCAGTATACTGGATGCATAATTTTAGAATGTCATGCATATAGTAAAGTTGCATAGAATGAAGCTGCAACTGTATTGCAAAGTAAACAGTTTCATGTTTATCACATGTATGGGTTTGGCTGACCTGAGTGAGAAGCCTGTCAACAGTCAACATACATTACTTTCTCACTTCACGTCTATCAACTATGATTCTCCATAGGAAAAGAAAATGAGTGTAAGTCTAGCATAATTGTTGGACTATTTTTATCAATTTAAAATAGAGATTGCCAATTTAATATCTTTATCTCAGACTATATTACAGTTTGCAAGGTGCTGTGATATATTCTTTTTGCTGTGCATATTACTTTAAACACCAAATTTGCATATGTTGTAGTGAATCCATAATGATGCAGTATATTATACTGACAAATGTACTGTATACTGTTAGGCAATAGAAAACCAGCTGAAGATCTGCGGCTTTAAGAGCAATGGGGATGTTGTAGGATTGTATCTGGCTAGACAGTAAGTAAAATATGTTTCTCCTTTTGACTTTAGAGCACACAGTAAATTGTAACCTTTCATAGTGCTTTCTGTATCAGGTACTTTCTGAACATCATTTATATGTGAAATATCAGTAAAATGTATTTGTACCTAGTCCATACACGTTGTGAATGAAGAAATGGTGAAGGTACAGTAAGACATACAGCAGAGCTGTTCTCACAGTGAAGCAGTTACCTGCCTCAGCTCTAGATACACGATCCATCTCCAGCAATCCAGAGTTGCTCCAGGATCTGTGAGTTCACAGAGTTCTGCATAAACTTCTACCACAGGAGCAGAGGAATGAGGCTTGATGGCTAATCTCTGCCTGTTCTAACTGGCTCGTAAGGCTGGGTGGAAGGAATATCAAGAAGGCAAATGCAGAGTCTAAAGACTGCCAAATTTTTGACCTCCCTGAAGAAATCTGTTAACTGCAACAGCAAAACTCATTGGTAGCACCTTCGAAATTACCTGCATCTCTACTGTTAAGAACTGAAGGGAGGGCAGGGCAACATGAAGCGAATACAAGCACAAGAATGCTTGTTTTGGGCAGGCAGTACTGATCACAGAACTGATCTCCTCTTAGAGCTTTATGAAATAGCTTGAGATGTAGGGCAGATGAGAAAAAGAAGCCATGCTGAAGGAAAGCAAAGCTTTCATGAACCTGTGGGTGATCTAGGTTGATAGAGGTGTATATTATAGTATGAACATGCTGAGAGGCTACCATTGAGGGATGGATGCATGACAGGACATACTTCAAAGTTTTTGGAAGGCGTGCTTTGAATTTCTGGCCAGGGCATAATTCCAAGTGCTGCATACCTGTTTGCAGCCTCACGACTGCATCTACTGTTCGTAAGGCTGATATCATATATAGGGAACTAGTGCAGTTTAATAGTTCCGGGACAAGGTTTTCAAAGTCCCTGGGTCCAACGAATGAGGAAAAATAAAAGGTATTATGGAATTTCAACGTTGTCTAGCTTGTTTTTAGTGGAAATCAGGTGGTATTGAAAATCTAAATGTGTCCACTACTGTGTTTGAATTCCTTATCACATCTCTTGATTTACACTGGGAAGGTATTTGATGCTTTGTGAAAAGTAAACTTAAAGCATGTAGTTACTGTCATATTTCTTTTAAATAAGCATTTTAGAAAGAAGAAAACATAAAAATTAAGGGAGAAGTTTAAATAACGAAAAAATTACAAGATACATATATATATCCTAAACAAGACAATAAAATTACTATAATGCGTATGCGTAAGAGAATTAAGACTGTGTATACAGTCTTATTAGGCACATTTTTTGATTTTAAATGCTTGAATGTATGCACTCACTGGCCATATTTTTTGGTATAAATAAAAAGAAATGTTCAGATGGCAGATATAGAAGTGATCTGTCTTCCCATGAAACCATTTTGAGACAGATGATGCAAGATGACTTCTTTGATGATTGGATAGAAGTGAACTTTTATTCTATACCAACTTATATAAATTTGAACTACAGCCAAACTCAGTATCAGATCATGCCTCCTTAACTGTTGGTTTGACATATTTTTCTGCTGGCTGAAATAGGAAAGTGAAAAAAATAATAATTAAAGTCAATCAAATAAGAGGGAATGAGTTTATATTTTTAAAACACTGCTCTTAAAGAGACATGAAACAGTGTAAATTTGGACACTGAAAGCTGTCATCCTAAGAAAACTGATTAACTCAGCAGTAGGTAGAAAAAGAGTGCTGCAGGCCAAAAAGGATCAGCTTATAAAAGACATACAAAGTTTGGAAGGCATCTAGAAAGGGACAGGCTCTTTTAAAAATGTTAGAGGAATTAAGCTCTACCTGGGGCAAATTAAATGCCTTAAATACTACCAAAAAAAAACAGATCAAGGCTTGGAGATAGTCAAAATGAGGCTGTTAGTAGACAGGGAGTAAAACCAATTAAAATGTAAACCTGTAAACTAGGTATAGAATGGGAGTGACAAAGAATATGAGGAAATTTTGGCTTTGCTTCCTGAAAAGTAGTGCAGGGGTTTACAGGAGAATTAGATAGTAGCTCTGTAAGAGTTCTGTATGTCCTGTCAACAGTCATCTGCCTGTCTGTGCCACTTGCAGTAATATCTTTTCTGGTTATTTGTGACAATAGACACAAAAGTATGTATTTGGAGGGTTAGTTTTTATGAATTATCTGAAGAAGCTAAATAAAGTGTTTAATGAAGTAACAGCATGGGGTAATCTGAGTTTCAGAAATAAAGGACACTAAAGGTACAGCACCTCAACTTTGCAGGGTTTTCTTTTGACAGATTTTTTATTTTCAAATGCAAGATCAAAAAAGGCATCCACCCCTTTGTCTATACCTGGAGGGTGTGTTGAAAAAAACAAACAAAAAAACCCAACATGGGAAGCTAGAGACTAGGCTTCACAGCTGGAAAAAAACCCATGATTTTAGGCTGATGATGTGAGGTTAATTTTTATCAGTTCTGTTCGTCCTTTCTGAAACACTGATCCCAGTCTTGCAATACATTAAAATCCACAAGGAAATTTTTATTATGTCAATTAAAATTTGTAATATAAAGGTAATCTACAATTATTCTAGTGGAAATTAAGAATATTTATTTAAAACAATGAAAAATCAAGAGGAGCAATTAGTGAAAATTACTCAGCAGCTCAGTAATATTCTGTGTAATTTGTTATTTATAGTAACTAGCAAGCTCAAAGCGCTAGATACACAATTAAACAAAAAGCCCTACTGGCTCATGGGAGATAGTTTCAGCCTTAGTGGATCTACTAAGTTTATGTGATAGCAGGAGAAGAGTGAGAAAAGGGCAAAAGATTTCACAATATGCACTAATATGAAAAATAACAAGAGATGTGCATTGATGTGCTCGGTGTCTGGCTTCTGTTGGCTTCTTTGGCACTGTGGCTGGACAATCCCCACTGCATCTTCAAAGCAACTTTCTTTTTAGATTTGTGTCCCCAGGGTGCCAAATTTCTCCTCCTGTGTTCTGAGCAGGATTTCCAAAATGCAAAGTACATGGCACTCAGACTCCCTGAGAAAATAAATGCTATTCTGGAAAAGCAATTAATTTATCACTTATTTTTGTTGCTTGCAAGTGTGTAGAATGCTTACACTGTCTCTGCCATCTTGTTCTTTTTGTCTTTCTCTGATATAACTTCTAAGGAGTGTACCTTTTTAGTTCTTGTGTAATATTATTTATAAAAAAATTAAACTGTTTGTAAAATTATTAAGCACTCTTGTTAAGAAATTTGTTACTCTTTTTCTTTTCTTCCACCAGAGGACTAAGAAGTATCCCAAGTCTCTCACAGTTTAATAGGTTAAAGTATTTGTGGCTTAACAACAATAAGGTAATAAGATATTCATTTAAAGAGCAGAACAGTGCATCTATACTCCCCGATTATTATTTTTTAATTTTTTTCTAGCATAAAGCATTATATAATTGTCAAGCTAATAAATTATTTTTAATTTCCAGGCATATTTAACTGTGAACTGTGAAAAGATTTTTTTTTTTAACATCCCAGAGTTTAAGCTAATATATTTTCCTTTAGATTCACATCAGATTTATAAACTGTGTTTATTTAAGAAGCTGAGTTTCTGTGCTAATTCCTTAGCAATAAAAAGAAAGCAGTTCCCCATGTAGCTGGTGTACCCTGCCCAGCAGAGCGGCAGCTCTTGGAACAGACCGAGGGGTGATGTGGCGATAGAACAGGAGGGGGCGGCAGGAAACGCGTAGCTCGTTTCATGCCCTTGCAGACATGCAGAGTTTATTTCCTGCCAGGATGGTGGTCGAAGTGAGGCACCCTCATGCACAAAAGGCAGACATACAACTCTTTGAAATGAGCTTCTCCCTGTGCACGGGAAGCGGCACTGGAATGCTTGGGATGATGGGGTCTCTGCTGCTGTTACACAGGTCGTTGTGTCACCTGAACTTGTTGGACTTACGAGATTTCCAGGCGAGTGGTTAGAGTGGGACCACATGAATTTCTCATGTTTCCAATGGAGTGTATGACCCTAAACCAGTAACACAAGCCACATGCCTTACTTTCTCCTTCTGTGCAAAGCCAGATTATAATATTTATTCTATCCCGTATGGGTTTTGAGACAATGCTCTGTCAAAATCTCGCGACAATACAGTTTCCAGCCAATTGTTACACAAAATCATCTCCTTGACCAGTAGAATTATCTGATTTAGAAATCTCCATATCCATAGCCAACCATTATTAAGTGGTTGAATTGAATCTAAACTTTCCCCATTAGCCACTGGTAATTAAAAAGCAAGAAAAATAATAAAACTCCAAGAATTCTAACCTGCTTTTAACTGTCTTACTTTACAGTAGTTTACATGACTTTCAGAGTGAGCTCAACTTCTTAAAACACCAGAGTTGCTTGCTCAGGTAAATAAGTAGACCTGTGAGCAGCAGGAAAAATCAATTTACATTCCATGTCTCTTTGGAGTGTATGTATATCTGCTGCCCCAGGCTAACATCAATTATATGGCATCTTATATCAACTTCATCAAAAGATCTGTGGTTATCCAACTATTTTCAAAAAAAGCAAAAGTATAGATACATTAAAAGATTGAACACAGGTATAATAAGTCTTTTCCTTGTATTTCTAGAGGACGCTAAAGAATAAGAAGAAATGGCCTGATGACTAAGCAGAACTAATCTTGCTGACCATAAAAGATTAAATCAATCTGATTTTTGCCCAGATCTCAGGTTTTTACCTAAGCAGTAACAAAGAGCATTCTTCTGTTTTTCTATATAACTTGTGTGGAATAGCCACTCTGTGGCTTTTCTTAGGAGAAGTGTCACTTAAATGCTGTAATAGAGGAAGCGTGTTTTTCTGTGTTCAATAGTTTTATCACAAAAAAAGTAAATTTCAGGTGACCCTAAAATCTGTACTCGTCAAAGACAGGGAAACACTGCTATACAAGTGAGTGGAAAAACCTCTGCTTTATGCTCTTCCTTCCAGTGTTCAGATACTGTTGATGCACAGAGCAAAGCACATTTGTTTTAGAGTCAGGGGCACAATTCAAAGACATTCTCCCAGTAACAAATTTGCATATGTAAATTCAGAATTCAAAGTAGTGTCAGGAATAAAATTCTGCTTGTTGTTCTTGCATTTAAGCTATAGGATAAAAACTTGGGCACCCATTAGTACTCCCTATTCTCAGCGATGGTAATGGTCAGCTTGTTCTCTCATTGCAGATACTTTACCTTGCACTGGAGGCACTGAGCTCCAGGAAAGGGGATGTGATTTCATAGGGACCAGAGAAGACTTTTTATGGGAATGCACCCATGCATTTTGGTTTTTTTTCTGTAATTGTACTTGATTCTCTAAATCTGATTAAATGACATTTTGGGAAATTTAGAACAAGGTCAAGGAATAACTAGATGCTGGGTTTATTCTAAGGATATATTTCAGGAATATCCTTAAACCAACAAAGAATTATTATGTCCTACAAGGGTCTCCTAACAATAAAAATTATTTCCAATGTGAATAGAAGGAAGAGAAAATGTGAAGGCCAGTCATTCAAGGAAATTTGTTTCCAAATAAAAATATTAAATTTGTAGCTAAAAAAATTAGGTATGGCTGTACTGCATGTGTTTGATGTGTAATTAGTATTTCTAATGAAGGTTCAGCTGTCAAAAGAATCCTTAAACCAAGTCTTAACCAGAAATATAAGAAACTACCTGTAGTTATGCAGTTTTCAAGAGACCATGTTTGTAATTCTCCAATATTACATTTAGATTGACATATAATTGTTTGCCTAACTCTAATTTCAGATACAAGATTTAAATTTCTTGATCAAAAACTATTGCTTGACTGAACTCTACCTCAACAATAATGAACTGACAGATATATCAGGTACCAATATTCCCTTTTTAGGTTGTTGAGCAGAGGCCTATACTTTCTTTTCTGTATACTGGCATTAAAATTTATACAACTTGATGATAGCAAGTAACTTACTGGTTGAAAGCTCCTATATATGCATAACAATACATGTTAATTATTAGATATTTAATTGTTCCGGGATACTTGAGTGGCAATAAGGTGATATGCTTATCCTGGTTCTAAGGGATGAAATGTCACTCACTTTATGTCAGGCAATTGTAAAATATTTTTGATCTTACATGCACATATTGCATATTGAGAATTTATAACCAGAAGTATTTTGCAAAGTTAATGCCAAACTTATTTTATTTCAAAATTTGCATTTGTCTTATACTTCTATTTCAGTTTTGCTTGCTGTTGTAAATGAAAGTGGCTGTACCAGACTCATGAATTTGTGGACAAAGAGGCCAAAATATAATAAATTTCTGTATATTTTAGACATTTTAAATGTTAATACTTTATTTTTCTCTGTCCCTATAAAATGCAGGGATTAATGATGTTGATTAGTTTCTGTGAGATTTTGAAAAAAATTAATCTTTGAAATACAAACATGGATAAAAGAGACAATACAGATGATAACAAAACATGGTTAAACAGAAGGGTGTCCTTTATAGGGAAACGTGGGTAGGAAACACTGTATAGATTCTGGAAAACGTGGTGTCCAATCCTGATATGGTGTAAGAATGTGAACAAATAGCCTGGGACAGCCACAACAATATTTTGTAATAACTTTTTAATATGTCAGTAATTACTTGAAACTGAACTATGTTCTAAGGAATTCACTATTTACTATTTGAGAGGCAAAGGTGATATATTATTGTGAGGCAAAGGTAATATTAGGTCAAGGTAAAAGGAAGTGAATTAACCAGGGATTACTGGGATATAGGAGTAAGGAAGGGAGGAAGAAGAGAGTTTGCAGTTGATGCTGATTTGTTAGTGCAAGGGTAATGTGGGCAAATGGAAAGAACTGGAATGAAAAAAAGTTAGGCCTGGGTTTAAAAGATGTGATTAGAAATATGAAAGGGATATTCAATATCTCTAATTTTTTTTAAATTAATATCTCATGCAGTGTGTTACCAAAAGGCAAGCATAGATAGATATTGTGTGCAGCATAACAAAATAATTATCTAATAGAAGCAGCCTGTTATGGTGAGAACGATTAATTATTTTTCATTTCATTTCAGGTGCTTTGAAACACTTATGTTCGTTACAGATTCTGTTTCTTCACAACAACGAGTTAAAGAAACTTGGCAAAACAGTGAAGGAATTGAAAGGAATGATAAGCTTGCATACTCTAAGTAATACCTTATTTTTATTCTGCAGAACAGCGACCAATAGCTTTTTAGTTTCTTATCGGGATGTTTCTTGCCTGTTTCTGCATCATTTGTCAATAGCTTTTGAATCTAATTAGAAATTTCAACCAAATTTGACAAATCTGAAGAAAGAGATCTCTAGGACATGAAAATTCCACAAAGAGTACCTCAACTGAGAAAAACCTGCTAAGTGAGTTCAGAAGTTAACTCTTTTTGGCTGCTGCCTAGCCAATATCCTGGATGAATAGCTTGGAGGGTGTCAAGCAGTTTACTGCTGCCTCTTTGTAAGGGAACATGGGAGTGAGATTATCATAGAGGTAGAGTTGAAAAATAGATGTTATTGTTGCTGGGAGTGTAAATGATAGGTTAAAGAACCCAAATTCCTGCCTCCTTAATTCTGTTGCTTATAGAACTCCCTTTCTGCATCTTTTTGGCAGACTGTGGATTTCTAGAATCTAAGAATAAGTACCCTTCGGTATTCTTCACAACAATGTCTGTTAAGTGGCATATTTTCTGATGCACTGGCTGGAAGTGAAAACAGTGCCATCTCTGAAATTTCAAATTAAGTTACACAAGACAGTGTTGATGCCACTAAGTTACAATGTAAGAAGTAGCCTCCAGGGAAAGTAGGATTATATGCTAATAAGATACTGAACATGAAAATGTAAGCAGTGTTTTCTGTGGTTCCTAAAGGAATGTCAACATAGGCCATGACAGACACTCAGTACTTGGAGAAAACAGGAAACAATTTTCACGCCTTAGTGACGGCTAAGGAGGTGAATGTCACCAGGCCATAACACCTCCCTAAGCATTCAGAAAACTGAGTGTCTGATTGTGGGAAAGGAAAATATGACTTAAAAAGTACACTTTTAATTGAACTTGACACTGGGCCAAAACTAAGAGACAAATCAAGTGTTTAGGAAGACAACGTGTCAGCCAAATTATAGTAATTTTTTTCATTATATGCAACATAGAAAAAATAGTCCATTTAAGAATGCAGTTGTTTGAAGTGATTAAGCAAAGTCTGGACAGACATCCTATGTATGAATGGTGCAGTCACTTGAATTTAATGTTAGCCCTACAAATTAATAAGGAGCTTCAACAAGCACAGGAAGTTTGTTGTACTTGTTGCAACCATCTGTGGGAAATACATAGCAGATAGTTAAAGTGCTGCTGAGTTATTATGAATGGCAGTCACAAAGGCATAGTGAAAACTGGGTGCAAATTGGACTGGCCACCACCACAGAAAAGGAAGTGTTTGAAAGAACAATCAAACAATAGATAGAATATACCAATCTACCCTAATTAAAAAAAAAGTTCAAAGATTTGTACCAGAGTAAACAGTAACAGTGGAAGAAGCTTAATAACCTTAATAACCATAACTTTAAAGTTATTTCTTCTTGACCTTTGCAGTCATGAAAAAATCATTAATGTGTTTGTTTCAAGGAGATTTCATAATAATGAGTTCTCAAGTTACCAGTACTCTATTTGTTTAATAAAATGTAGTCACATTGAAGTAAATTACATCAGTTATTTACAAATGAACAAAATAAATTTTAAAAGTCATATTCTATATATCATATTACCATATAATTTCTATGACTCCTTGCAATATTAAGAAATATGAAATGGGTGCAGAATTTGCATTGTGTAGCTTTGAAAAGGGCTGTGCCGGTAACTAACTTTTATAAAACAAAACCAGTGACAGTTCTCACTGTTATGAGGTAGATCTTTTTTATAGCCAGACAATCTCATTTAAGAAAAAAACAAACACTTGCTAGCCTTCAGCTGAGCTCCTGGATACTTAACAAGATTTTATGATTTTGTAGCTCTTGGGGACAACAGAACTATTAAAACACACTATTATTGTTCACTTCAGGAGTAGCATCCAGCTGGCAAAATGTTGCATTTCTCTTCTTGAAGGCTCTCTTGTGACTTTTAGCCACTGCCCTGCACTGGATGTGTAGCAGAACACCATCCTTCCCCAGGCCTTTAGGGAAGACACTCAGCTTTGAAAGATTTACTGCACATGTTGCTCACAACTGCAGCCTTTGGGAGATACAGAGGGTTTCTTTATGGGCTCACCTCACATCTCCCTTTTGGAATCCAAGATTTTTGTTACATACTCTGTAAATTGTCTCAACTGATTTATTGTACTCAGCTGTTAACATCCTGCTGCTAGACCTCAGAAAACTGTGTTCTTCGCTATGTTTCTGCCCCGTGTGGCATAGGCACACTGTTTTCCTACACTCCAAATAGAGAAAACAGATAAAACTGTGGAGGAAGAAAGCATTATCCCTCATTTGTAGAAGTAAAACTGCATGACCTTGACAAGAAAGTAGATAGCTGAGCCAGGAATTAATCCCAGATGTTTTGTAAAACAAGACCATCTTGATCTGTACAATGGTTGGATTTACTGTAAAAATAAGCAGTAAAAAAATTCACATTCTCTAAAAAAACCCTACAAATCAGTGTTGATGAGGAGAGACATGATCCAAGTAGCATCCAGATTCACAAGTGGTTAGTATCAGCCCTGGTTTGTGCCTTGGAAAAATCTCTTTTTAATCTTTATTCCATTCCACTACCAAACATACCTACTTTTAGAGATCTTTCTGAAACATTTTTATCTCTGGAATGCTATTGCATATTTTCTTGTCTCAAGAACAGAATTATCACATATATGCATAATATTCTTTCTGATCAACACTTTCTGGAAAAAAAAATAACTATATACTACTTTGTTCAGTAAAAATGGAACTTTCTTTTGCTGCCACCTTGTGGGATTCTTACTAATTTCAAGTCAGTGACCTATAAAAATTTGTTTAAGAATTAAAATATTTTAAGTTCTCCTCTAAACACGTGAAGAGGTGTTTTCTGTGCAGGAGATAGCAAAAATGCCTGTTCCAGCCTTACTGCATCCTCAAAATAACTGCTAAATCGCATCGAGCACTGAGCTCCCTTCAGCAATCAGACTTGTCCTGAAGAACATGAAATGGCATCTTGTAGTTTAGAAATCCATTTGGAATATTTTCAGACTTTTTTCTTCTTCTACTATCTCTTATTTGCTTCTGTAATACCATCTTCCCCCCCCCCCCAACTGCTAAAATTACATGTAACAGGATTTTTTACCCTAGAGTGAGTATTAGCTACTCAAAAAGAGAAAAGCAGATCCGTGTAGCAGAAGTTTGTCAGAATTGTATCAGAATTGTCAAAATCATTAAGATTTTTTTTTTCTCTCCTCTGATCTCAAGGTGGCAGCATCCTGATTATTTTTACTGTCTTAGAAGAACAGCATTTGTGAAAGGAGAAAAATAGAATTATTATGTCTTTCATTTGGGAAAAAAGCCCCACCCAGCAACACTTGTTTGTTTGTTTGTTAGCTGATCTGGGAATGAGCCAGTTTCTATTTTAATCGACCCTAGATATCACTGTCATGAAATAAACTAATTTGGCATTCAGCTAGGTAAGTGTTCCACATTTGGCAAAGCAGCAGCACGGGATTGATACCTGTCTCTGTGTTGCAAAGGTTTGGCTGTACAGGTAAAGTGAACCTGAACATAAGCATTGTAGTCAAGTTGCTAATGGGCTTTTGCAGCTTAGTGTCTCAAGGTAAGCTAATGGGGACCCAGGTTCTGAAGAACTTAGATCGCATTAAACATTTTGCTCTTAAATTTCTTGAGTTTTCAAACTCATCATCTGTCAAAACACCACAAGACTGAGTATTTGCATTTTATATTGTGTCTATGGGATAAAGCACCTTTATATCAGCTCTTATGTCTTACCTTTAAGCTGTCACACTTAAAAGACCACTGTTATTTAAAATAGGCATCATACCCAAGAAAATCAAAGGCAAGCAGCTAATGTGTTTTTTTTATGTATATCTTAAAAAATAGAAAAATACCTCAAAGGTTTGGAGTGCACGATGACACCTTTACTCAGTTCTTGCCTGTGTTGTTTTGCATGAAGTCCATGTTTAGTTATTTCATGCCTGTAAAGAGACTGTGCTTCTTTTGCCCAGCATAAGAACAATTTGAATTGATAATATTTTGTACAAAATCTTTGGTTCCTAGTGATCTTTAATTTTCCTGCCTTGCAAAGCTTTTGTTCTTTTGCTGGGTTTGGTTTTTTTTGTGACACTGTTTGTTTTTTCTATATACATTTTGCAGACCTATTCCAAAACCCTCTGGCATATGATCCAGACTACCGGCTTTATGTCATATACATCCTTCCTTCAGTTCAGCTCCTTGACAGGAAGTGTAAGGATTGCTTTCCTCTTCTCACAAAGCATTGACAGTTGCTTTTGATTTTAATCAGTTTGGAAAAACGGGTGAAATTATCTTGCCTGTTCTTTTACATGCATTTTTTGATATAGCAAAAGATCTAATGAGCAGATACCCATTTTTTGCAAGATTTGTCAAGTAAACAGAGTTTGCATGGCATAAACAGTTTACTTTGTCAAAGGCTTTTGATTTCTGTCGTCTTAAACTGTGTATGCTTTTCTCATATCTTGGTCTATTTGGATAAAAACCTGTGCTTAGAAACATGTACCTACATTTGTGCATTCTCACTGGCATATTCACATGGGTGAGCATGTTTACTTAGGTATGGATAATATCCTCAGCTATCTACATGTTTCTGTACAGTTTAAATATGCACATTTCTTGATGAGGAAGATTCAGACCATGCTTTCAAATATAAATATTCATAAATCATCACGGGCTCTTTCACAGATTGCCTATTGTAAATTCAGCAGAAAAAAATGTCTTAAGAAAAGCCAGATGTGAAATCAGTGAATCCATAAAATGTCACAATGAACCCAGAAAATCGCCTTTTGTGATTTTTGCCTCTGGTGTTTGGAAAGCTATTTGATTGGCAAGTGGGCTGAAAATTACTCGAGAGCCCTGAGAAAGGGGTTGATTCCTGCCCCAGCTCTACCTTATAAGGAAAAACAGGGCCATCTTGAAAACCTGCTCCCAGCCTCTAAGGGAATCAGGACATAGGACTTGAGCAAGGCAGATGCAGGACATCTGCAGGTGCTGGAAGACTGTGCAGCTCTGTCATGAAGGAAAGATGGTGGATGGGCCACAGGATGTGGCAGGGGTTGATGAGGAGCTGCTGGATCTGACCATGTGGCCATTTGCTTACCCTGTCATTTTGCACTGGTGCCTCCAATCTCAAGTATTTGGTCTCGTGTTACAGCTGTGCTTAACACGTCTGTCAGACTGTGTTACTAATGATCACTTTAGACTGGGGAGTGATGAATGAAGCTTAATGTTCTGAAAAATATGTGTTGCATTTACATGTCTAGAAACACTTCCGTAAAACTTCCTGGACTTAATCTCTAAATACAGTTCTACTGTAATCAGTCCTGGATTAAGACTTGCAATTATTTGTATCAAGCTGCCTCCTGGACTTCCCACTTAGTGAACTATTTCTCTAACATTACAAAGCTTCTTCACCATCTGTGGAACATTACCACAGCACAGTCCTGGCTGTCGCCTTTACACAAGACATGTGCTCACACTTCTGTTACCTTCAGGCATGACTACTGCAGTTCCTTTCTAATTGGTCCCCTAGACACTATGACTCCAAAACTTCCCTGCATTCAAAATGCTTCTGCCAGTTACTTGTTCTAAAGCTTTAGCTCACTTCTGTTCCATAGCTGAAGTACTGGATTAGTATAAAGTTCACATAATTGAAGTTACTATCCCCGATTTTATTTAACAGCCTTAAACTATTTGTTTAAAATTTAAAGTTATTTTTAATTAAAGTGCAAACCAGGAAAATTTCAAGCTTTTTTCTTGATTGCATTCCTAGAGTTTTCTCTGTAATTGACCAATGGGAATTGAACTGGCCTTAAACCAGGATTTGATTTTGCTATTCATAAAGAAACTTCCAAATCTACTGACTTCTGCAGTAGATCTCATTTAAGTAGTATGAAAAGTCTGGCTTTTTAGTTTCTTGGTTTAAAACTTGTCATCCTACTGCACTCAAAAGAAAATATTTTATTGTACAGGGCTTCACCCTAAAGCCTTGGAAAGTATCATTCCGTGTTCCCATTTTGAATTGTTGTGAAATGATGTAACTTACACTGCTATTGTTACAAAAGTCTGCACAGAAAAAAAGTGTATCACCTTTTGCATGCTGCCTTTTCAATTGGTAGAAAACATTTTTTTTATATCCCCTTAACAGTAGTTACACAAAGAGAAAGGGAATCAGCATTTCATCTTTATAACCCTGAAAGGTCTCTGCTCGTGCAGTCTATAGCTTTTGGGAAGAGAGTAAAGACACCCCTGGGGACTCCAGTGGGATCCAGAAGATGCATTCACCCAGCCAGAAGACTGATAATGCCCTCAGGTATTTATAATAATAGAAGGAAAAGCAGACATTTTTAGGTGATTAGAATTAGAAACGGGTTTTTTTCATTCATCTGATAAGAAGTTGCTGGTTTTAGTAATAGAATAAAAATGCATCAGGAACTCAGCCAAATTGCTTCATAAAGTAGTAGTAGCAGCAACAGGAAAAAAATGACTTCTTACACTGACAGTTTTGAGGCAAATAAGTTCTAGTCACTCCCTGTAGTTACAGAATTACCTTTAAAGATAGATGAACAAACAACATTTTTTCCCCAGTATGTGTCTTGCGAGTGTTTGGTTTTACTTTTATTTAACTTAAAACATCTCAATACACATCTAGGCCAGTGACAGCACATAGACTTTTGATGCCCTCTAGTGCTTTTATAAAATAATCTCTCAAAGAAAGTATTTTTTTCTAGTGCCTAGTTTTATTGTGCCTAGTTTTTATTTTATTGCGCCTGGTTTTATGAGTAGATTCCTTTTTGTGTTTTCAAAGCTGAGAATATTTTAATGATGTCTTAAAATAGCATATAAGGCAATTTTTAGAGTTCTTATAACATTCAGATCTCGAAGACAGCATGACCTGGGCACAAGAAAGCAGGTGAATACCACCAGGAACCTTGTGACTTGTACCATATCACACTCCAGAACAAACCTTGAAATCTTGTCTGCTTTTTTGATGTTTTAAAGATAAAAAAACCAATATTGTGCATAGATGAAATCATAGCATTTTAAAAAGTAGTGTAGATGAAGTTTGGAAAGTAATAAAATACCTGCAAGTTTTTTTAAATGTATATATCACAATATTAAAGCTGAAAGCAATATATTTAACAGTAATTTTGGAGAGGTTGAGAAAAGGAGGATAGTTTGATAATATATAATTTATTTGTTTTGCTGATGATTATCAAAGTAGGCATACTATGCAATCATTCACTTATGGAGAGAGTGGCATCATTTTCTGTGAAAATAAAAAAGCCTGGAAATGTATGTCTATGGGGAATAAGAGAGCTACATAAACTTAAAAAAATTCTGACAGGTATTTGCTTCCACAGTACTTTAATAAAATATGATCTTAAACATTTCAAATAATCTGCTAGTTTTCAATTAATTTGAACAAGCAAATTAGGATCAGGATGGTAGTGGTACGGCCATTAATGTCTTAATTTGAACTTTTTGTTATAGGTTGTGAATTTGGAGATAACACAAATAAGTAAGTCATTTTTTTGATTTATTTTCCTTTTGCATCTCTGAAGCATTTACTGAATTTCCTCTTCTTGTGCCTAAAAAATACCCTAACCAGAGAAAACATCCAGCAAAAATGAGCTTTTCAGAGAAATTTCAGGCCTTTGTATTTAATATAGTTGCAACTCTATACTATTGTGATGAGACAGCCTACCCGCTGGTGTCTGAAATTTAATATTGAAAGGTATTCCACATTTGGAAGTGGGTACATACAACTGCCATTTATTTGTAAGATCAAATACTGATCACTAGAAAAAACATGCTCTAAGTATTAGAGCATCAGAATATCTGTTCTATATTATGGCCCAGAAAACATTCCCCTGAGTGGCTGTTCAAGAATACATACTCTCTGAAAAACATTGTGACTTGAAGAATGAAACTTTTTTAGTCTGTACTTGATTTTTTTTTTATTCTTTTCAGTTTCAAAATCATGGAAATAAATGCAAAACTTACCTCGGTTATCTTTGTCTTGATTGAGGCAGGAGAAAGGTTGCATTTTGATGTGATGACATTGTAGATGCAATCTTTATAAGAGTAAATTTACAAACTTTAGATGTCAGGCTTGGTTTTACTTTCTAGCTTTACATATGAAAAGATTTGAAAAACGCATTAAAGGACATAATAAAACCCTACATATCCTATGTATCCTCTGACAGTACTGCGTACAGCTATTTAAAATCAAGCTAATTTGTGTTGAAAGAGTAATTCTTACCTGCCTCCAGTGGAGTTAGCTGTCCTCATTGGTAGAATGGATGTACGGCTTTCTGGAGTCTTATTTATGTACATGATGAAACTTTGCAAGGTGCCTTTTCATGACCAAGTGCTTTAAACTCGGTGGAGATGGTCCTGTGGTTCGTATTAGGTGTGTGTCACTACTGGTACACCTCTAGGAAGTAAGTTCTTTTAAGATTTAATATTGTATCTGAGTTGGAAGGTTTTGGTCTAACACAAAGTCCTTCTCAATCCTACATTGATGCGCATCTGCCGCTTTCCTCTCCCAGACTACAGCTGTGGCAGGATACATGAACAACACAAGCCCACAGTGTTCTGGATTCAGAACCTGCAGAATGAAGATTTGCCTGAGGGCTAGTTAAAAGACACACAGCAAAATAAATTTATGTGCATTTGCATTAATCAGTATCAAATTGCTTGAATCATGCCCACTGAATCAGAGTATTAAAAGTATACAATTCTAATTGTAGTGGGAAAAAAATTGAAAAATATTATTTTGCTTTAAGTTTACTATAAATGTATTTTAAATAATTTATACCTAATTTTTCCCCATTAGAATCCTGTGATTCTAACCTTTTCTCATTTTGTTTTGCTTTCTGAAATTTGGTAAAAGAAGAAAACCTTCTGAAAATTTTAAATCCTCACTGTTAGTGTCATCATGACTGCCAACTTCACTTTCTACACTGTGTGTTGTTTATTAGTTCCAAAGTAGTTTGGAAACATTCAGATAATGGACATTTGCTGTGTTCTTTTTGCAGAGTACCATTTGAGAACCTCGAAGATGCGGTTTTAGTACGGGCCATGACAAGATCTCTAACAGAATTTTCCTCTGTGGACTGGAACAAGGTCGCTACCTGTCAAGAAAGACGTCTTCAAAATAAAGCAGAAGAACCCCTCGAGAAGCTGACAGTCCAATTTAGATGAGTCCTTTCTTCCTTAAGAAAAAAACAAGTCCTCTCTCTAGTGTGGAGCCCCAGAAGTAACAAGTTCATGACAACATGCATCAAATTAAATGAATTTCCAGAAAAAAACTGTGTAATACAATGATGAATTAACATAACAAATGATAAACGTCAATGATACAATAAAAGTGGCTTGAAATGCAATTCTTACCATACTTTTGTTATCAGAAAGTGCTAAAGCTAAACTGCATGCTAATTTTTAAGAAACTAAGGAGAAATACTTTCATTGCTTATAGTTTCTGCTTATTGTGTTCTCTAACAGTAATTTGCCTTCTTCCATCAAAATAAAGATATGAGGAAGCAACCATTAAGCTCTTCTCATTTCTGAGAGGGATTAAAGTTTCAATTTGATAATTTGTGTGCTGCATGAATGTGCTGGAAACTCTCAGTTACATGAGGATACTCATTTGATCCCAATACAGTGGATCCACAAGCTCTTAACCATACTGATATCTCTCTCTTGTCTGTGGCTGCTGATTCTCTCCCGGGATGCAGGCCTGTGCTCACTTGTCATTCTGGAGAGACAGGACTTGCCCAGGACACTGCCCCAAGACTGTCACACAGTGCTGGAGCATTACACCTGACACTTTTGGCTTTTAAACCTGTTACCACTAAGGAAGCCAGTGGGAAGTGTGTATATAGATGGAAAATAATACATTTCCACACATATTTATCCCTCCATTCTGCCAAAGGCTTAAAGTCAGTGATGCCTTTTAACATATCAAAGGCCTTCTTCAGCCTGTGACTTGTCTTCTGAGTCCATCCTTCTCTCCTAGGTTACCACAGAGCCACAGGACAGTCTAAGTTGGCAGGGACCTCTGGAGCTTATCCAGTCCAACCCTCCTGCTGAAAGCAGGTTAGAGATGAGGTTGTCTGGTGGCCTGTCAAGGGCTATCAAATATTTTCTGTGAGCAAGGCACCACCACTGAGAGAATGAAAGCAGGATTTGTGCTGTGGATTTTAGCACACTTCCAAAACCCTGAACCTTTTGCCCTGAAGGGCTGGCATTTTCAGAGAAACCTAGAAGAGCAACACATTCCTGCGGGCCCCAAATGCTATGTGTGGAACAGGGAACCAGGAGCACTTCTGCATTCCCAGACCCAAGAGTGGATGGTGACTACAGCATGAGTCCAGATCCAAGTTCCAGGTAGGCATCTCTTGCTTGCCAATTGTCATGAACTTAAACTTGCACACTCAAGCTACGGGAGGCCTCTGAATGTCACATTGGAATGTCACCGTGTGTGCCAACAGGTGTTACAGACCCAGTAAACAGAACTGTCACATAGCCCCCTTCTTTTAAAAAATTTCCCTTTATTCTTCACAATCTACTAATCCTTGAAATTAAAACACAGGTACGTTCCCTGCACAGATGCATTTATGTATCCTCACTTGTACAGTTTTCAGGATATTAAACAAAAACTTTCAACATATTAAATAGTAAAAAAATTAATAGCTTTTTCCCTCTGTTTTGAGGATGGTCCTTACTCCTCCAATTAGAAGAATATTGCCATGTTCAAAACACCAGTTATTCAGCCAACAATAAGACAGTCTCCAATTTTGCCATCCTTATGCAGCAAGTGATATTTTCAGTTGTGGCATTCCCACTGATTTCATGAGACACGGTAATAAATCTGAGTGAAAAGCATAGTTAAGGGAAGCTATTTTCTAGATCTGGTATTTAGCTGAAAGCCAAAGTGAAATCCCAGCTGTATCAATGCATACATGAATTTCCCCATCCGTGACCAGGTTCAACATGAAAAATATTAAGCATTTTTTACATTTGTGAAATGATTCATTAAGAATTCATAAACAACATCTGTGTACTCTAAGGTATCTTTACCTGAAAACTGATTTAGAAACCATTAATCTCGTCAGTCAAAATACTTTGAGTCATTCTGGTCTTCCCTTCATTAGACTTTGGAATATTTCTGACCAAACCAATAGTGAAATAATACTGTTGAAACACAAATTTCACCATCAGCTTGAGACACCTGAAACAGCAGTTTCATTTACTACAATTTCCACAAAATAGACACTATTATTGTGCTCTCGCTAGCCAAAAATATTTACAGTAATGCCATGAAAAGTTGAGAGTTCAGACGAGTATCTTCAGAAGCTTAACTGCTACTGAATGCCTTCAGATAAAGCTTCATAAAGTGGAGAAAAAAGGCAATTTAACAGTTGGCTTCCCAGTGCTTTAAACTACAGATCTATGTACTTGCAGGAAAAAATATTTAAATTACAATTAAAATAAATTTTAGGTTCTGAAAACATGAATAATCCAAATCAAATGATTTTCATTTTTCACTAAGTGGTTCATTAACAAGAGATACTCATAGAATTTCACTAGGCTTACTGCTGGTATACATACAGATGGATCTATGCCACTCTAGTTTTTAGCAGATAATAAATACCTATTTTGACAATTTACAACAGAATCTGGAGTATTCATAGACAAAGTAGCCAGTATTTCATCTCACGATGAACAGAGACATTCTGTCTTTCAAAGGAAGTCTTGCATAAGCCATGATCTAAGAACTCAGACATGGTCAGCATAAAAAATGTTTAGTACCCTTGAGAATCCTCGGTCCCTTCCTACCCTCTTCTTACTCCTCAGAATCTTGAATTTTCTGAAGATTAATGTCAGCTAAGCCAGTCTCACTTTCCAGTGGACTTTCAGGGTGCAGGGCGAGTGCCTCCATCTCTTTGGTAATTTCAGGTTCTTCTGTTCGGTCAGTAGGATTATTTGGATCAACTTCTTTTGTAGGATCTGGACCAGGATCTGACTGTTGTTCACTTGTAGAACTACTCTCTACTAGTTGCATTTCATCTAAGCAAAAGAGAAATCACACAATTAATAAACACTGAACTCATTTGCAAGCAAACATTTTTATTACTGAGGAACAATAAACACTAGGAAACTTTGCATCAATTACAGATTATTAATTTAACCAAGCTTCATGGAAAACAGACCCAAAACACTAAAGTTCTGCTTAAGTTGGTATAAGGTTACTCTAACTTCTGCATGAGCTTGACTAAAGACCTGGATTTTGAAACAGTGCAGTGTAATTCAGAATGTTTTAGTTGTAGAATTCTGTGTAAGTGTAGCGTTAAAAAACAGGTTTAGAATGTACACAGTATATTTGTAAATTGAAGACCTGAATCTCAACAAATGCAGGCTTGCTGTTATGTTACATCAAAGATTTTTCTTCCAACCTCAGCTGTTATACTTTTAAGACCTGTTAAACTGCTCTTTGTCGAGCAAATTAATGCACAATTAGTTTCTGCAAGCAAACTACAGATTCTAACCTTTCTTTTGCTTCTTTTCCTGTTTCCTTTTCTCTTTGGCAGCTTCTAGTTCTTGTTTCTCATGAATTTCCTTCAGGGTCTTGCAGACTTTTTTGTGCGTAAACCAGTGTATTTTCTGGCAGTTCTGGTCACAGTACATCACCTGAAAATTACCAGAGTTATCAATTAATTTTCATGTACTAAGAAAATATACAATATTCTTGCGTTTCTTAGTGCACCAAGTTAAATCTCACTTATGGGTATTTTTAAGCAAATTGTAAGGTCATATAGAGTGATTCTAACCTATTTAAGAATCTATAAAGAACAGTTTGCTTTACTAACTCTAAACATACAGAAATTTTACTCTTTCTTCATTCTTAAGCATACACACTTGGAAATCCAAGTACTCCTACTCATGAATTTCAAGTATCTTTCCCAGATACTTGAACATTTTCAGTGCAGACACATATGCCACTCTTCCTAAGTCTACATAGTAAATAGGGAACCATTCAAAATTCTTAGCACCTCAATGGCACTATTTTTTTGGATTCTTACCATTTTACACACTGAACATCTTTTGTCTGCTCCCTTTCCCCCACAAGTTGTACAGAACTCAGCATCCACAAAACCCACTTGGCCAGTAATCGCTTGTGTAAGTACAGAAAAAGCTGTAGGGTCAGAACCCTGAAAGACAAGACAAGAGGTGGTAATGAGATTAAAAACCAGCACTGTTGCAAAGAGGGACATGCAAGGGAAAAGCAAAATGACTGCGCAAGCTTCCGTCTCACTGAAGCTGCTGCAGCAGCAAGAACATAAAACTAAATCACAGAACTTCAACTAACATGCACAACTAAACGTTTGTATCATTAGATAAACTTCTGTATGTGAAGTTAACTTAAGCCCTCAGCTTCTCTAGAATTTACTCTGTAACTTATAAATTATACTATTAATTAATTCGGTATTCTTTACACACTGTCACCCACTTGTAGATCCTATGAAGCAGATTTTTGCAGATCAGCCTGTGCTGGCACATACAATGATGTTTCACTTATCACTGATATACTGTTGGGCTCAGTGCACTCAGATGCTACAGATCAAATGGTCAGAACTTGAAATGTTCAAAACAATTATTTGCATATTACTGTTTAGATGTTATTTGCAATTCTTCCCATGCAATGCAAGCAGTAAGATTTAGTATATTTTATTGGTAACCATAAATTAAGACTATTCTTTTGGACAATAATGTAAACATTAGAGAAAAAAAATGACAAGTTGCTCCAGCTCTAAGTAAATCCTTAAACTGTTAGACTACCACGGAATATGCACAGTCGCAACTCCTGCGACAACACTGAGACACCCAGACTGAGTCCAACGTGCACTGAGAAAGGTCAAAGGCTTCCCCACAAATAAAAGTTATAGCATCTCCTCCTTTCCAGTTCTACATAATGGACAGAAATCCAATGGAATAAACAATCACTTTTTTAAAGGCAGAAAAGACTGCAAGCTCTCCTAAGAAAAAAGGGATAGGAAGGAAAATGTTTACTCTAAAGCAAGTCGTAATGCATCACGATGCCTTATGTTTTCACACTGTGTTCCTGGCTTGGACAAACAATAGAGATTGCACTAAATATCAGGACATTTTAGCAGACCTGCAGCCACTTAAAATGGAGGCTATTTTTAATTCACCCAACATAATCCAAACATGTCGCAAAATTGTTCCACTTCCCCAGCATTTGTGGATACAAAATCTCACTCTCAGAAACCAGAAAGAACATGCTTGAAAAAAAGAATGCTAACTCTTGAAAAATTTATTACAAAGTAATAAATAGTACTATAATGAAGTGTGTTAGCAAGGGCATATGAGGAAAACTTAAGATTTTTTTACTTGTAATTTTGATTTCCTAATTTAGATATACATGTCGCTGTACATTGCATCATCCTGCCTCTCTCTGTGATAAAAGGAGACTCACAGAAT